TAAATAAAGGAAACGTTCTATTACAAATCATATACTATTAGAAGTTCGTTTTGCATCTATTTGATATTATCTTGCTAAACTTTTGCAAAATTGCAAATACAAATTTTGTTTATAAAGCAGAGCTCGATCAAATTTTTAAGATGCCCCTAAAATTAAACATAAATATTCTGCAAACAGCTGATTAATCAGTTCAGATTTGACAGTTTGCCATACGCTGTGTTAAATATTGACATTTCCATTTTAATTCATAATTAAATAATATAAACAAAAGAAATATTTTATTTTTATTTACGAAACTTATAAATAACTGTTATACTAAATTTCTAAGAATCAATCCAATTAATGATATTTATCAAATAAACTAAAAGGTTACATATTTTAGAGTAAATTCAGAGCCGAACCTCATTACAGATTTTTTAAATGGTAATGTTAACGTTGATAGCTTTAATATTGAAAATATTTTCATTATTTTAAGATTGTTATAGATTATACAAAATATATAATCTATGTTACAAGCATAGAATCCTGACAGAAAAATAAAAGTATTAATTTATCTTAGAAATATTTCTTCGACTACAAACACATCTCTCTGTGAGAGTAAATCTGGAGTAAATCTATGCGTATAAAATGAGCACGTAATTATTTCGTTGTATTTAATTGATTTTATATATCTTGTTTTGAGTATTATATATCAAATATTCAAGATATAATAAATATATTTGCTTTTTTGAGTAGTGTTTATTAAATCTATTTAGATAGTAACCTTAGTCGCAATTGTCAAATAAAAGTTATCGATAATAATCCAACAGGTTCGTAATCGGTTTTTTTTGTATTCATTACATAGTGTTGTTTGAGAATTATTAGGTGTGGATTTTTTTTAATACTTTGCAGTGCTTTGTTATTGTATATTAAAATGTATGTTTGGATTGAGAAAGTTTGTAGAATTTCAATATGTTTTTAAACAGAGTGTGATAACAGATTGATAATGTTGAAATTCTCATAATTTTCTCTTTAATTATTTTTATTATTGTTCTAATCAAAATAATATATTTATATGGGATTCTTTTTAATTTTTTTTTAGATTTTATACACCTGCTTACTCACTACATCGTAATTAAATTATATTAATAAAAGTGTTTACTCCTTGACACATCTTGATGACCTGCAAAAATAATTTAGTACCGTACAAAGTTGTTTTTGCTTTTGATAATCGAAGTGAGATATGTAACTATCAAATGTATAGAGCAATCGGCTTTTAATTAGTGAAACTAGAACTTAAATGTTCTAAGGTAATTTTGATAAATTTTTATTAAACTGATGCATTTTAATCTCATGCATATATATTTTTAAGGTTTTAAACTATTTGATACCACTTCGAACAAATGATTGACTAGTCAACAAGTATTAACGCTTCTTAAAATAAATAATTTAAACCAAAAATGATGGGTCCAAGTTCACAAATTAGTAAAATATTACTGACGCTGCTGATACTTGTAATAATATTTTTTATTGCAATGGATGTGCAGCTATATCTACGTATTCAACATTATCCCATTGACCGAAACTATCATTTTAATACTTCAGTGGATCCAACTGATGTAAACAGTATCAATTCATATGAACAACAAACATGGCTATCATGTGATTATAATCCATTATGTCATGTTACAGTTAAAGCAATTCTACTTGATCATACCAACCACTATTTATTTGCACCATTGGCTACATTATTCGACAATGTTGTTGGTTTTTCAAGATCTTTCGTTTCAGCTAATATGATATCGTTTTTCCATGTAATTGTAGCGTGTATATCGGGCAAATTAGTTGCCTCTAGTAGTCTCGGTTATCGTCGATTGGGTGTTGTTCTATTTCAGTTTAGAACGTTTCTAGATGACTTAGATGGACATGTAGCAAGAGTGAAAAAAAACATACGAGGTGAGCGATCAGAAGTAGGAACATCTGGATATTACATTGATGGTATATGTGATGGATTGGGCTGTATTGCTCTTCTCTTGGGCGCTTTCATATATTTAAAAAATAATCCACCACGTAGAGGATATTCGCAATTACCAGTTACTGAATCCAAACTTCCAGAACCTGTTGTAAGACAAAAACCTAAACCAACAGTGAGAAAAGTTGCAAAGAAAGTTATTAGTTTTACTGGTCAATTATTACTAAGCTCAACAGCATGGAATCGGTATATAGCTGTCTATCAAGATTCTCTTGAACGCACCAATGTTTCTGCAGTACAAATGGCACGTCAAAATACAGTCTTCAAGTCTACCTGGTTTTTCTGTGTTGCTTGGATGTGGCGAGTTGTGAATGTACATTCTTTGGTGCATTGTTTTCTATTAAGCATATTTTGTGATAAATTATGGGAGTTTTTAAAAAGTATTCAATATATCGGATACGTTATTTTGCTAATTGCAATATGTATAACAGAAATGCACATTTTAGAAACAAATAACTTTATTTTTAACTCGTTAATTGTAAATAATCAGAGCTCATGATTTTACCATATATCTAAATGTAAACTAAATCGTTTTAGGCAATATTTAATACTAAAGGCTCCTATTATAGTTTTTAAATAAAATTTTAATATATATTGAATTTGTAAATTAACAAGTGTTTTTGAATAGCTGTAAAATAATATTAATGCCTAACATAATTTATTGCATGTATTTGTTTAAGTTTTAATTATCAACGTTGTGCTAAAAGTTAATATTATGTTATATCGATGCAAAATTTAACTTTTTAACATAATTAAACAAAAGTTTTTGTACATTTGCTGTCAACTTTTTACTGGAAAATAAATGTGAATTAAATTTCAGTATTGTATAGATCTTTTTTCCGCAATTTTGCCTGAAGAACATCATTCTCATTGTATGAAATATATAAAGGAGGTATTAAAGCAGAAGCTACCATACGGTTTTCAGAATTCAACAAATTGAAAGTCGCACATGCCTGAAAAATATAATTGCATATAACAAATGATAAATTTTAATATAAATAATATATATTTGGCGTATTACATAATATACTATTTTGAATAATATTCACCTGTTCAGTGCGCAATATCTCGACATTTATTTTGTAGTTTCTCATAAATTCCATTATTTTTTTCGAAAAATTTGGCGATGGAGCTTGATCTCCGATACCGAGAACAAGAACATCTAATTTTGGTTCTAATGCATAAAATATCGACAAACTGTTTTCATTTATATCCTCAAAGGAATTAACATGCCAAGATAGTATTGATCTAAGGCGAAAATGAATTAGAAATTTTTTGATATTTGTGAAATCTTTAGTTACCGAGGAAATATAGCTATAGGTCCCATAACAACTACATCATTGTTGAGCCGAAATCCGTATTGACTATATCCTGTGATCATTAGACCATTTTCCAAGCTAGTATTTAATATTGATACCTTGGTTTTACCATCAGCATCATATGCACCAGGACTTCGTTTAATGCTCGTTATTCCAAAATTCCGAACATATTTTGTATTTTCCACAGGTAACAATTTTCTACCTTCGTTTAGGATATTTCTTAATTTCATGAACCGCATTTTTTTAAAACATTGTAATTATTCTATTATGACATTTACGGAATACTGAAAATAAAACATCTATGTAACAAAGTTGCAATAGGTACATGTGTAATAAAAATTTAAATCATGGTTAAAAAATTCATAAAATTTTATTTTCTGATAAAAATTTTATTCAATATTTAACAGTAATAAGATATATCGTGAATACTTAAAGGTTGACGAAAATTGTCATATTTTTATTTTACATTAAAAAAAAATTTCATAAAATTTGCCCTTATGTGTTGTTTTTGAATTTGTAATTCTTGGGGAAAATTTTTGCAAATTGGATGAGCAATTGAGAAAATATACGTTTCTCTTGTTTTTTTTTTAATAATACAATTCAATATACTAGGTGTGCACCAAAAAAGAACAATGATTACACAACACTCGAGTCATTGGTTGTATTTCACTTATACTGACTCTGACTCTCTTTTTGTATACCCAACTCTACTTTACTCATACATAAAAATCAAATTACTTATAATTTATACTCTATGCACATGATACTCATTAATATTTAGTTAGTTAGTTGTGGTGGAGGGAGGATCGAATTCTCCTCAATTTGTGGATTCAAGACGGCTGAGTATGTTGAAGAAGGGGACCCCCAGAAACAAGCCTTTTTCTAAACCCTTGGACCATGCTTATATGGAGTCCAAACCTTGGTACGATAGCTTTCGTTGAAAGCTTTTCATGCATTCTTGCGGAGCGTAGAGAGGTTATTAATGAATGAGTCAACTCTCTAATTTCCTAATCAAGGGATTCCTGTTGATGTTGCTATTAAGTAGTGTACTGAAAGTATCCTAGTTTGCCTTCCTGACATTACATTCTGATTGCTTAGCTACTATGAGAACACCCATCACAAACATGATGTATCTATGATCAGAGAATAAGTTCTTGACTGAGACTCTTCAATAATTGATTGGCTACATGAGTGACATGTAAGCGGATACTATTAAAACTGCAGGCTTTTGCTTTCGCTCTACAATGATGGTGGTGATATCTAGAGAGCTTTAATGAGAAAAGAGAAAAACATTAATGTGCGCGTTTTTGTTAAAATACCCGATCTAGGCTTATACTATCCTTTGACATAAAATAGATTATAATCACGGATTTCGCCTACCGTGGAATGCCAGATAACACGGCGTTCCTTTCATTGTTATTAATATAGTCCTAAGGCTTCGACAATTAACTGTCCGTAATATTATGTGAATTGAATTTTACCCTTTCTATAGTCACTGAGAAATTTCTTTAACCTTTATAGTCTTAATCTTGTTACGTATTTTTTTTAACTAATACGATTTGAAGTTCAATTTTTTGTAGAAAATTCTGCTCCTTTACTATATAAAGGTATGGTATTCCTTAAGGATCCTTAAGGAATGTTTCTGATCAGATTGAGCGCTTACGTAGGAATGTCTGAGCTCGATATCTCTGCAAAGTTAATACGACTCTGCAAAGTGATATTGAGCAGTATTCGTAGCTCTACCAAGGTAAAATCGAGTCTCTTTGAACATTTTGAAACCATGCAAGACTTCAAGCAAGATTCGTTACGATGTTATCTCTGAATTTTCTATGATTTTTTTGTTATGGACGCGTTAAACAGAGGGAAGGTGTTTATTGAAATGACACTTGCAAATGTATATTGTATATCTTATATTATAGGGTATAGCAAGCGTGATATTTCTTTTGTCTTTACCGCTATCGAAAAAAGGAATGAGGGCAAAATGAAGTTTATGTCGACCACAGGCAAAATTTTGGAATGGCGACTGGCCAGACACAGAATTGGCGACTCAGGACTATACTTTCGAACCTGTCAATGTTTCATCTATCTTGGCACTGCTGTTACAGACAACATTAATGTCTGCTTGGAAATTAGATGAGGAATTACTATTGCCAATAGGTACCACTATTGTCTTAGTAGGGAGTTCTTTATGACGTTTAGGTCGCTGGTACTGGAAGTAGCACTGGAAGTTTTTAAAAAAAAAAATTTTACGTAATGTCTTTCTTTCTCTAAGAGTTTGTGATGACTACCGCATCCGAACGAACCTCGAGCTGTACTAACTTTATCATGGCATTGATATCATTTAGAGGAATAAAATCCAGCGGCTTTGCTGGCTGGAGGTCATGAAAAGTAATGATGATGCTCCATTGAAAAAGGTGTTTAAAACGGTTGTTGGAAGAAGAAGGTGTAGGGGTAGGCAGTGTCTCTTGATGAACTGATCAAATTATGGGAATACTAATCGCGCTTGATATATGAGACTGCAAAGGGTGCGTACGAAGTAGAGGCGCCTGGAGAGGAGTGTTGCTTCAGGCCAAAACCTTATAATCAATTAAATAATTGGGTTAATATGGTCAATTAAGTATTGAACGGAGTTAGCACTGCCACATTTCCGAGGTTCTCTTACTCGGATTCATTCGAACTTAATTCAGAGCGATTGTTATCAGCAAGTGGCTATAAGATTTTCCACTTGAATAATATATGAGAATTCCCCTATTCAGAACTGCTTGGGAGACAGGTATTGTGGGAACAACAAAAAATTCAAATTTGTTTTGTTAAACGTTGACAACATTTGCATTTTTTAATGTCGAAAAGTACAAAAATAAGAAGCAAATCAAACAAATGAAAAGAATTGTGCTTCATATGTTGATTTAAATTTAAAAATCGCTTGTATGCGCCACAGTATATTAGAAATTATATAATGAATACTTTATAAGTAAATAATAACAAACTTTTATTTTATTTTTTAAATATGCACCTAATTTATTTTTTTTTCTTATAAACAATAAAAGTAAAATATCTTATTTATATATATTAATTGGAATTATTAATGTTTTAACTAAAGTTTGAGTTCTTCTATTTCGAAAAGTCGATAATTATTTTTATAATTAGGATAAAAATGTCCTTCAATTAATGAACCGTAATAATAGTTTATGATGAGCTCAGATGTTGCAGGAAAAAATATTGCTTGAATACCTGCCCATAATTACAAAAGATTATTTTAACTTACTCAAGGTATCCTATTTATTGTAGAATGAGGGTTTCTTTCATTATTCTATTGTTTTAAATAACAATAGTTAACACTTTAATTTGTGGGGAAAACCCGTGTTCATAAAATAAATAAAAATAATAATAATAAATAAAAATAATAATAAATAAAAATAATAATAAATAAAAATAATAATAATAAATAAAAATAATAATAAATAAAAATAATAATAATAAATAAAAATTTAAATATTTTAAATTTATTATAATAATAAATATTCGAAAAAATGATCAACCCATGTGCATAAAATAAATAAATAAAAACTTAATTATATTAAATTTATTATTATAATTTTAATAAAATATATTTGAAAAAATAATTAACCCGTGTGGATAAATTAAAAATTGAAATATATTTACCCCTATTTTGAATCAAATGGGAGCGGGAGCGGGAGCTTTTCCTCTTTTCCCAGTTCCTCTATTCTGAATCAAATGCAAATGGGAGTTTTTTTCCCCTATTTTGCACCAAATTTTTCGCAAGTAAATTGTGTGGGAGATAAGTTAAAAAAATGTTGAATATAAAAAAGAGGTGAATATATTTAACATTCCGTTCTTATATCAAAAATCTTAAAATTAAAGAACTTAAAGAATTTTGCATAATTTACAATAAGGTATTATACAAATAAATTTAATAAATAAAGCAAATATGTACTACTAAAATTAGTCGTCTAATGAAATGCTGTCATATTTCAGGTTGTTGCAAGCTACATCAGGCTGCAACACATCCAACTGTGGACTAAAGGACTCTGGAGAAGGTGATGCAGCATATCTGGTTGAATTTACATTTATAACTTCAGGTGAAACAGTAGCGGAATAGTTCGACATACTGGAATTCCCTGATGAAATTGTTCGTATACGTGTCTGTTGCCGTTTAACTGTTTTGAATGTAGATTCATGCTTATTATATGGAGAAGTAGACAAAATTGGATCTATTGAATGTTCATCTACTTCAGATTCTAATTCATATTTCGGTATAGTATTTGTAGAAACTGTAAAACTTCGGATATTGGGACCCACTGACGAAATTGTCCTTACACCTGGTTGTTGATGTTCAATTACTTTATAGGAATATTCATTTAAGTTACCTAGCGTCGCTTGGTAAAGAACTTCATTGATCATTTTGTTGGCATATATTTGCTGATTGCGCTCCAAATTCCTGTACTGAACTTCCCAGGAAGTACTTAAAGCATTTGCTTCATCTAGTTTTATTTTTTTAGAACTTGGCAAAGGCGAAATAGCTTCTGGTATGATCTCATTTCTTTCTTCGTTTTTTTTTCGTAAATGCCCATTGGATTGTGTCTAAAATAATTAAATAAGGAATTCTAATTAGATATAATTATTTACGGTTATATAAAATTGAAAAATAACACTAAAATATAAATAAATAAAATATAACAATACATGGAAATATATATTTTTAGCTTATTTATTGTGTATGGGGAACCTGTTTGCTTACCTGCTTAAAACTGTCATTTAATGCGTAGTCAATCGGTGGATCTTTTTCCGGAATAGCCCTTAAGAAATTCAAAGAATTGAAATACCAAAATTTGGAAACATACAGGTCATCACCTGTGGCACCAGACTTTTCACTTGCCTTTACTTTTTTAATTTCTCTGCGGTAGCCGGATCGTAGAGTATTAATCGATCTTTTAACTTCCTGTACATCAGCATCCGGGTGAAATTCTCTTAATTTCTTAACTAAAATTGCTAGGCATTCATCCTTTCGTTTCCTATTGTGGTACTCCTTATCATCGACTTTCCATAATGCGGGCAAACTTTGATATAAATTTATAAATTCCTTCCAAAATTTAGTATCTATAAATGTTGATAAAACTTTTTGTTTTGTCGATTTTTTCTAAAATAATGGAACAATAACTAATTTTATTTAAATTTAATTATTTACGGTTAAATAAAATTGAAATAAAACACTAAAATAAAAAAAAATAATATATAACAATACATGAAATCATGTATTATTATTTTAACACCACTTTATTTGTTTTGTATTTGGAATTTATTTGCTTGCCTTCTTGGAACTGCCATTTAATTTGAAGTGAATAGATGAAGCTTTTTCCACTTGTCCTTTTAAGAAATTCATATGATTGAAATACCAAACCGTGGGAACATACAGATCATCACCAGACTTTTCACTTGCCTCTATTTTTTTAATTTCTCTGCGGTAGCCGGTTCGTAGATTATTGATCCTACTTTTAACTAGTCTTACATTTGCATTCGGTTGAATTTCTCTTAGTTTTTTAACTAAAACTGCTAGACATTCAATCTTTCGTCTCTTATTATAGTAGTCGCTATGACGGACTTTCCATAATGCGGGAAGACTTTGATATAAATCTATAAATTCTACCCAAAATTTAGTGTGTGTAAATAGTCCCATTAAGACTTCTCGTTTTATTCACAATACTCATAAACCTAGGAAAAAAAGAACATATGCACTAGTTCACATTGTCGCACTTACATTTATATGGATAAATTAGTACAAATTAGTTGCACTTTTAATACAAATCTCTATATAAAAATGTGCGATATAGTACTATACAACGCGAAAAATAATCTTTTTAACTTATTAATAATGGAATTTTTGACCAGTCCGTTTTATTGTTTTAGTTAGAATTTTCTTTAGGCTACTCTGGTCTTATTATTAGGATGCAAATAAAATTCAATTTATTTCATTTTTCACCCGACGTTTCGTTGGTTATTTTCCAACATCTTCAGGGGTATCTAAAATATTTTTTATTTAATAATTATGATTTCAAAACACAATGCGAAAATATATATATAATATAATTTGTGATATTGTATAAACAGAGAAACATGTACACAAAATGACTAACAACAACAATAATAGCAAAACAATCAAAAGTAATAATTATCCATTCAGGATTTTAGAATTATTTAATAATAATAATTACCAATAGTTAGAATTGAAATTAAGTTAAATCACTTTTTGTAAATAAAAAATTAAAAGTTAGGAATAAACATTAAAAGTTTTATAAAATTATAGAATTATAGTCAACTGCTTCAAGTTACCGCCACTTTCGATTTTGTTTATATTAGAGCAGCAATGTAATTAGAGCTTATATTCTCCGTATCTTCTTTGATGTTCATAGTTAAGTTAATTTTCTCTTGAATTCTTAAGCTTTCGAGAGTGTACCGTTTTTTCCAAGATTTCTCTTTGTCCAATATTACTACATTGTCGAAATCCGGTTTATGTTGTCTCTCGGTGCAATGCTGAGATAGAGCTGTATTGTTTTTGTTCTTGTTGATGTCCGACATATGCTCAGCTATTCTGGTGTTGAGTGATCTCTTTGTTGTACCAATATAAATCTCTTTGCAACTCCCTTCTTTATTTCCGTTGCAATTTATTTGATATACCACATTATTTTGTTGCAGCTTATTAATTTTGTTTTTGTTGTTAGAGAAAATTTTATGGATAGTTTGATTGGGTTTATAAGCACAAAAAATGTTGTCTTGTTTAAGATTTGTGGTCAAATTTCTATTATTAGATAGTTTCGGTACATAGGGTAACGAAAAATATTGTTTTGGAATTTGGTTATTGCTATTTTGAATATTTTTATTGTAACTTATGTTCTGTTGTTTGCTTAAATTGTTAATTAGTCTGTATGGATAATTATTATTCAATAGAGTCTTGTAAATTTTGTCAATATTTTGTTGTTTAAACATTTGGTCACTACTATCTAATACCTTTTTGATGAAATTCTTCACAGTACCTAGTTTTTGGCTCATAGGTTGTGAAGAGTGAAAATTGATAAGTCGTCCTGAAGATATATCTTTACTGTACCAATTGAAAATTAAATTATTATCTCGTTTAATAATTTCAATGTCGAGATATGGGAGTTTATGGTCCAGTTCCTCTTCATATGTAAACTTGATTTTTGGGTGAAAATTATTTAATGTTGTCAGAATAATTTCCTTGTCAGATTTTTTGATAACCGCAAATATGTCATCAACATATTTGGTAATAAATTTAAAAGTTATGCCCATAGTCTTGAGTTCAGCTATGGCTTCGTCAAGTAGCTTATCAAGTACTATATCCGCGATAGTAGGAGATAATGGATTTCCCATAGGCATACCAAACACCTGTTGGTATATCTGATCGTCAAAAATGAGGTAATTATTGTCTTTAAGACAAAAGTCAAGAATTCTCGAAAATTTGGCCTTGGAGATGTTTGTTGTATTCTTAATAATATCCCATTTTTCTAAGATGATTTTTGTAGCCAGGTTTGTAGGTATATTTGTAAACAATGAAATTACGTCAAATGAAATTAATATTTCGTTGTCTTCCAATTTAATGTGTTTTAATTTCTCAAGTAATTCACTGGAATTTTTTATATTGTAATTTGACGATATAAGTGGTTTTAGAATTTCTTTTCCAACATATTTTGACAGTTTATAACAAGAAACCATTGTGGAGTCCGCTATTGGTCTGAGGGGTACATTAGACTTATGAATTTTGGGTAATCCATATAGTCTAGGAGCGTTAGCTGTACTACATAGCAGTTGTTTTTTTTGCTGTATTGTTATTAGTTTCTGTTTGTAAAGATCTGTTATAATGTTGTTATTAGTAGTTATCAATTTATTAGTTGGATCTGTGCGTAATGTTTTATACGTGTTTCTGTCATCTAGTAATGATGTCATTTTATGCAAATAATCACGTTTGTACATCACTACTGTTTTTTGACCTTTATCCGATTCCAAAATGACAATATCATTTTTGTGTTTGTTCACTATTTTTTGAGTGTTATCATATGCTTTTAGAATGAATTTTTCTCTATTGTTGTTTTTATGTTGATGATTAAAATTTATTAAATTATGAGCTGTTTTGGTTCTAGTGAGTTCCTTCAATTTTTCATTTTTCATATTTTGAATGCCTTGTTCTACGTCTGCTATGAAATGTAGTTTTGAAAAATTATTTTTATTCACCGGTAGAGCAAATTTTTTTCCCAAAGATAATAACCAACGGCTTTCTTTAGGAAAAATTACATCGGTATAGTTAATAAACCAATCTTCATTCAATGTGAAACCAAAGGACAAAAACATGTTGTCTTTAAGTTTATGGATTTTATTATCTAATGTAGTTTTTGATTGATGAAAAAGGTGATCTGATGTTATTTTTTGTCTATGCATGAACGTTTTGTATTCATCAACGTTAAGAGTGCGTTTTAAATGTAATTCTAATTGGTTTATGGTTTTTCGTATAGTTTTGATGTTACTATTTTTTTGTGTTATTTCGAGTTTTAATAATTTGGATAGGAAGTTAAATTCTATATTGTGGAAAGTATTTTTGTGTGAATTCAGTTTAAAATTAGTTGATATTTTTTTGGTCATATTCGACAAGAATTGTGGTATAATGCCATAATCTTTACAAGTTAGAAGAAATTTAAGATGTTCTATTTGTTTTACTAATTGTTTCTTTTTCCTGCAATATCGAAAGTGGCGGTAACTTGAAGCAGTTGACTATAATTCTATAATTTTATAAAACTTTTAATGTTTACTCCTAACTTTTAATTTTTTATTTACAAAAAGTGATTTAACTTAATTTCAATTCTAACTATTGGTAATTATTATTATTAAATAATTCTAAAATCCTGAATGGATAATTATTACTTTGATTGTTTTGCTATTATTGTTGTTGTTAGTCATTTTGTGTACATGTTTCTCTGTTTATACAATATCACAAATTATATCATATATATATTTTCGCATTGTGTTTTGAAATCATAATTATTAAATAAAAAATATTTTAGATACCCCTGAAGATGTTGGAAAATAACCAACGAAACGTCGGGTGAAAAATGAAATAAATTGAATTTTATTTGCATCCTAATAATAAGACCAGAGTAGCCTAAAGAAAATTCTAACTAAATCTTTTTAACTGTTTGAATTGGAGACTGTCGAATAAGTCACATTCATACGTACATGGTTTGATAAAAATAGAAAAACAAATTACTAGAAATGTTTAATAAAAAATACAATACTTCTTAGAGTAGATTTTTTTGAATATTATATATTATTTAATTTTAAGATTTTTTATTAACTTAATTACAAAAAATTTAATTTTTAACTCTGTATTTTTTTCGCAAAAATCAATTTCGCAAAAATCTGTGGGTAGACTTCTATAAGTATGATGTATAAACATAGTATTATTCAATTTTAAATAAAGTTATATTTACAATTATTATTTCGTTAATACGTAATTCGAAAATAATTCTTTTTTTGCTATTTAATACAATCACTTAATATTTACTTCACTTCCAAACTTTTATTTACAGACAATATACTTCATCGCAACGCTCACCAGTTAACATAAATATATAAACAAATTAAAGTTTACGAAGAGTCCTTTTATCAGAAGGATATTAACACATGATTATGAAAATATAGCAATCAAAAAATTTTGATATCCATCATTCATGAGCACCACTCCTTCGATAGCTTGAGCGAATAACTACGTCAAACACGCTCGATACGTCTAGTCTCGCGAAATTTAATAGCGATAATAAGAGAAAGAAATTTAGAATTTCATAATACATGCAAAATATTATTTAAAATTTTTGTAAAGAAATATTTTAAAGACTGCTATCATAGAACTTTTGAATTTATAGAACTGAATAATAAATTTAAGTAGTAAAGTTCAATTTAAATAAATATTTATTGAATAATAATTTTATATTCGTAACATCAAATACTGAGTAACCGCATTCAACTACCTGAAATATCTTAACTAGAATACTTTTGAAAAGTCAACATATTTTTGACCTACCATACAGAAATTATTTAATAATAATAATATAATGTTCTAGTTACAAATTCTTTGTAGAAAATTCTGCTTTTTTAATATATAAAGGTATGGTATTTCTTAAGGATCTTTAAGGGATGTTTCTGGTTAGATTGAGTGGGTATTTGTTTTTCTTTTGAGAGTATTTCGGGGAAAAAACTTGCTGCAGAGGGATATGTGGCGGATATGGCAACCACAAATAGTTTATAACACGCGAAAAGCATGATGTCAATATTGTGATATCACAACCTAAGGATGGTATAAAAAAATAACGCAATCAAGCATCGCACTCTCTCTTCAGTCACTCTTTAAACTTCACAGTGTTCGGTTGATATTAAGTGTTAATAGTGCCTTAAACATTTGTATATAAGTGGCAATTATCTTTATATTAACTTAAGTGTATTTTACCGAAGCGCCGAGAAAAGCGCCTTTATATTAAATTAAGTGAAATTTACCGAAGTGCCGAGAAAAACCCTTTTAAGTTCTTACCCGATTTGTTACGAAGCACCGAGAAGAGCGCCTTATAATTTTTTAACTGTAATTCGCCGAAGCGCCGAGAAAGGCGATTTGTCATAATAAATGCTATTACGCTGATACTTAGTCAGCATAATTTTTTTATCGAAAGTGACGATTTAACGAGAAAAAAAATGATTAGTACCTTGTTACTATTAATCAATTATCATATTTTACTTTCAGTTTTAAATTTTTAATTTCATATTAATTTAATTTTTATATTATATTTACACTTGTCCATCCTGTTGTTACCTCTTCTCTTCTCCCTGATCTAAAGGCTATGTTCTCATTCACAGCCCACATCAAACGGAATATCTTCATCTCAGTAACCCGGAGGCTCGGAAGGGATTCCTTCTTCAGAAGGTCGTTGAGTTCATGCTTGATGGTTAACCTAAAGATTATACTTATTAATGTGAACTCAATTCGCTCGCTTGTCAGAAGGTCCTTTCTCCAAGACTTCTCCAAGACATAAAATCGTAGTTATTAGAAAAGCATTATTTGTTTTAAATAACCAAAATGGAAAATCAATATTAAACTAATATAAAACATTTTAAAGTAAATACCTACAAATAGGCGCAATATTAAATATAGAACTGATAAACACTTGTAAGACTAAAATACTTATCGGGAATGATAGCGATATCAGATCCGTTAAATTATATACATTAAATAAATCAGATTTATTATAATTAACACGCAGAACCAAAAAAAAAAACAATTTTTTGGTTTTACAAAGCAGTTTTTAATTTTTAGATTGTTCAATTGCTTTTACCATATATAAACAAAACAGCTGATAGAGACAGCAATCATAGCCTAAAAGCTCAAAAGCAAAGTGTTGCAAATCAATCAAATTCATAAACAAATTTTTAAACTTTTTGTGCTACATCGCGTAATTGTGCAATTGTGTTTGTTTAAAATTAAATTTATAAATAAAATATTTACAAAAATTTATTACTTTTAATTTAAACATAAATAAATACTAAACAAAAAAAAATAAAAAAAAAATAAAAAAAATTTACTACTGATTCAATGCCAGTTGAACGATCGCCTCCGCCAGAGGGCAGTAGTCATCGGCAGAATGAGGAAAATAATTTCTGTGCCAATAGATGCCGCTAACCACAGTCAACAACTTGCTGCTCTTGCCAAAACTGAAAATAATGTTCAAAAATTTCAAACAGGTATGAAAAGTCAACTTGCAATGCTAAATAATGAAAATATCCAAAAGATACGCTCTCATTCTACTAGTGAGTTAGTTGATAAAAATATCACCCCTTCGATTTAGAAAATGGAAAAATCTTTTACTAAAAAAAGAACCGTAGTTAGTCATTCAAAGAGGCAAAGAGAGAGCCCTGAAAATTTTAAAATTCTCAAACAAAAGAAGTTAGAGTCATACTGGCTAAGTAATGATAATCGTTTTGAAATACTTCCTGTGGATGAAAATGAAAACAATTGTAATGCAGACCAAAAAAAGATAAAAAAAATTCCCAAGCCACCACCTATATTTGTTGACAAAGTTGATAACATCCACCCATTGATAGCGATACTTAATGAATTTGTTCCTGGTCTATACGATATTAAGGTCATGTCTTCAAATCGGATCAAAATTCAACCAAAAAATTCAGAAACATTTTTCAAAATTGTAAAGCAATTGGAAAATAAAAACACTGAGTGTTTTTTAAGCCAAAATACGAAAGAAGTTTTAAAGCCATTTTAAGAAACATGCATCCATCTGTAGAACCGACTAAAATAAAAATAGCACTTCACGAATATGTCCATTCCGCCACAAACGTCTTGAATATGAAACACTACCAAACCAAAAAAGCTCTGCCTATGTTTGTAGTTGAGTTAGAACAAAAACCTAATAACAAAGACATTTATGAAATAAAAACTTTACTCCATAGTCGCGTCACATTTCAACCACCTCGCCCTAAACGAGAATTATCTCAGTGTTGTAGATGCCAACAGTATGGCCACACAAAATCTGTCTGCCGTCGACAACCGAAATGCATAAAGTGTGCTGGTGATCATGCCTCAGCTGATTGTACTAGAAAATCTAGGTCAAGTGATGTTAAATGTGTACTCTGCGAAGGATATCACCCTGCCAATTACAAAGGATGCTCTGTCTATAAAAAGTTGCAAACAAGCAGTTTTCCTAAATTAAAAGAAAAAATTTTGTCTTCTCAAGTTGAAAGAAAATCCGCTATGAAACAATCTGTTAAACAAAACGAACAATTGAACCAGCCGAAGTTAACATACGCCCAAGTGGCAAGTACCCAATCAAATCAAATACAACAAAAAAACTTAAGTATAGAAACTTTTGAATCAAACAATGCTTATCGACAAGGTGATCCGCTTCTAAGAGAATTACGCGAAATGATGTAATTTCTGAAGGAAATAATGAGTCAAATTACAGCAATGACAAGTCTGGTAGTAAACCTTATTTCCAAAACAACACCACGTCCATGAAATTAGTCCTTTGGAATGCTAACGGCTGTCACACCATTCATCTGAATTAAAACTATTCTTAAGCAAAAATAATGTCGATATTTTACTGTTCTCCGTCTCACTTTACTCAGAAAAGTTTTTTTAAAATTTCCTTCTACCGTTTGTACCAATCAATGCATCCTGATGGAACGGCGCATTGGGGCTCGGCAATACTGATAAAAAATAACGTGAAACATTATGAAACTACTCACTATTGCACAAAAGAGTTTCAAGCCACGAATATCATAGTCGAAATTACAGAAGG